AGCCTTGCATAACCATGGAGATCATGATGACATGTGTCTAAGGCAGCTCTGTGGATTGTAAACACCCGGTATCCAGAGCAGTAGCCATCCAGAGACACTTGAGTAGGCTCCACACCACCTTCTTCCCCTGTGGTTTCTAAATAAACTTAATGCTTCTGACATCCACAATGTCAGAATAGGTCTGACAATGTGCAGGTAGGTCTTTTCGGGATACATTTTAACTCTTGGTATCCATGTGCTAAGCATTTGTTCAAGCACACAAATGAAGTTCAAGTTAGTTTGGAGTAAGAAGATACCAACACCGACCTTATAACAGGTTGCCAGTGCTTGTTCTTCCAAACTTTTTCTTTTCTACCTTTCTTGTCTCTCTGGGTATGTATCTAAAACCTACAGGGCCTCCTTCAGCAGGATTTATGGTGGTGACATTTATTAACTGTGTTAAATGAATAATATTTATTCCTTTCATTCTAGGTAAATGAAAATCATAGAGCCAGATAGTCATTATCCAGATGGTCCTAAGAGCTCATTCAACCATAAGAGAGCTAGATATGAATAAATTAGAGTCCATAATGAGTAGAGAAGGCGAGAACTGCATATTTTCATAATCACTACCATCATTTAATGTTTACTTGTTTATGTATAACAGATGAACAACTGATTTACAACAGTGCAAGTAGAACATGAGTTTACCCCATTGGCTGAGATTTCACTTTGTTAAAATGATGTTTTGATTGCCACAAAACAAAAAGAAATCTTTACCCCCAAATAAAAGAATTTCAGTATTTAGAAATTCTGCAAGGCTTCCTGGAAATTCCATATCTGTAGCGAGTGATGTGGGCTATGAATATTTCATTCCACTCTGCTTTTTATTCTCCCTCACAGATTGTCCCAGATGCACCAGCTCAGCACCTGTAGCACTTACTTTGGTCTAGATCAGGGATTAGAAGACTCATGAGTGTTAGTCTTACCTTGGACCCAAAAATTCTTTCTTAGGCCTACAGGAAATATGTCTAAAAATAAGTGAGGTGATGATAGTTTTTATAACCATAGCCTTAACATCAAACTTGAAGGGTTTCTATCCCTCTCCAAATCTTCTGTAAGAGCTAGACGGCTTTTCCATCCATGTTTTGGTGAAGAAGATTACTTAGGAGGTTCCTCCAGCAATCAGAGGATCTTCTCTAGTAATCAGAGCTAGTTTGAAAGCCCACAAGGAAACCAATGCTGTATTCTTAGTATCATATCTCAGTTTTTATTAAATCTGAACATTCCTCCAGGTTTAGGGATTAGTTTTCTATAATGTTTTCTATTTTTGAAAAATCAGATTTACTCTCAAAAGGACTAACATGCTTTTTTTAAACCACTTTGGACATTAAAAATGCTGTACCTAACTTCCAAGTTGTAGACTCCAAATGGAATATGTTTTCCTGATTTGGGCTACCTCATAGTAATAGCAATTGCTATTTATCAAACAGTATTAGCAATTGTTGCCATTTTTATTGGAATCTATAAATGCCATATAAAAATGTTTCACCTTCCTTTCCTACTGTTTTCTTTTTTTCTTCTTCTTCTTTTTTTTTTTTTTTTGTCGGTTGTGGGGCCGGAACTCTGGGCCTGGCCACTGTCCCTCAGCTCTTCAGCTCAAGGCTAGCGCTCTACCACTTGAGCCACAATGCCACTTCCGGCTTTTTTTTCTGCTTATGTGGTGCTGGGGAATCGAACCTAGAGCCTCATGCATGCAAAGCAAGTACTGTACCAATGAGCCACCTTCCCAGCCCCCTACTGTTTTCTTCTAACTTATTATGCCTCTTTCTTTACATCTGAAACTTGTTCATCTTTCCTTGCTTGAGGTCATCTATGTGCCATCTTGTGTTTGTATTCTTCAATTTTCAATGAACTACTCTTGCTAGTGCTTCTAAACTTTACCGTTTTTATAGATCTTTGTCATTATTAAGTGTTTTGAGTTTGCATCTAATCCTGGCTTCCCACCTGGGTCAATTTTGTTGTCATCTAAAAACATGCATCTTCAGTACCAAAATTATAATTTTTAAATCTTTATTATAAAATACTGTACAGAGGGGTTACAGTTACATGAGTAAGGTAATGAGTACATTTCCTATTGAGCATTGTTACCCCTCCTTTGTTTTTCCCCTACCATTTTTTCCATCCCCACCTCCCAAACTCCACCCCCATCCCGGAGTTGTAAGTTCATTTTCAACATAGTGTCTTGAACAACTCCTTGTTACAATGGGTCAACCTGTATCTTTGTTTCAGCATTTTGTTATTTCCCCTCCCCTCCCAAAATTAGAAAAATGTATATACAAGATACAGGACACCAGAATCAAACACAGTGAAAACAGGGTTATACCATGGGGGAAGAACACATAAAATAAACAAAAAAAAAAATCACATAGTACATTAAAAACAACAGCAACAAAGATAAAACCTCTTGAGTCCCTATCTTGGGGTTCATTTAGCTTAGCCTCATCTCATATGGTCTTATGTACATAGCTTTCACCTCCATCAAAAAGAATGACACTGCCCCATTTGTTAGGAATTGAAAGACTTGGAAAAAATTATATTAAGTGAAGTAAGCCAGACCCAAAGAAACATAGGTCCCATGGTTTCCCTTATTTGTAATAACTAGTATACGTCTAGGATAATCTTACGAGACAAGCAGAAAAGGTCAACAGCTATGTACATAATTATAATTTTTGAAGCCAACAATATGTCAGATACTGCAGGAGGGACTTATGAGATCTGTTTCTTTAATCCTCCGATAACCTCAGGTTGATGGATGGTATTATAATTCCCACTTAACAGATGGCAAGGCTGAGGCCTTGAAAATAGAATGCATCCAAAGTCAAATGGCTGGAAAGCGAGGTGGTTAGGATTCAAACTCTCAGCCATCTAAAGTGCTGTTTGTTTTCCTCAGTACTATGACATTTGGAATTAGGTGATTTGGGGTTGAGTAGAAGGGTTGTCTGGGCATTGAGGTATATTAAACAGTAGCATCTTTGGCCTCTGCCTTCCAATAGCCTGTAGTTTTTTAATGTAGCCCTTCAAATTGTGACAACCAAACATCTCCAGTGTCCATATTCCCTGGGGTGTATTTAAAAAACATTAGTCTAATACCAGATTCATTCTTTTCACTGCTTTATATTGTTAGGGAAGTGAAAATACCACAAAATTTTAACACACAGTATTAAAAGGGTTCAACTTTAGAAGTCACTACACTTGGCTGATTATCGAAACTGGAAATTTGTGGAAGACTCCACCCAAAACATTCAGAAAAGGCATTGCCTGGTAGGCCACAGATGCCTATCTATTCAGCCTATTCATGATGTAGGAACCACAGAGAAAATCCTAGCCTTAACCACATCTGCTTCCTGGGATCACTCTTCCCCATCTCTGCCAAATTGCCCTCTACCCTTGGATTTAACACCTCCTGTGATGGCATTTCAGGTGGTAATTCCATCTCCTAACCATCCTAAATGTGAAAATGTGTTCTTCCTAATATGATTCCTTGTCTCCTTTCATGTAGTTCCTTAGCCCACTAATTAGCATTTTTCTCACACCAGTGGAATTCAACCTAGTTTTGCTGTAGTCTCTCCTTAGAACAGTTTCTTTGGGCTGTTTTTTTGTTTTGTTTTGTTTTGTTTTGTGCTGGTCTTGTGGCTTGAACTCAGGGCCTGGGCATGGTCCTGAAACTTTTTTCACTCTAGGCTACCACTCTGTCACTTGAGCCATAGCTCCACTTCTTTCTTTTTGGTAGTTAATTGGAGATAAGAGACTCATCGACTTTCCTGGCTCCAGACCACAATCCTTAGATCTCAGCCTCCTGAGTAGCTATGATCACAGCAAGATAGATATTGACGCCCAACTCCGCATGGTTTCTTTACCATAATGGTAAAACCATTATGTGCTCCTTAAAAATGACCATCTATCAGTTTTTTCCATCTAATAATAGATTTCCTCAAAAGGGCAGTTACAGCTCATTAAAATCTTACAGATTGCAAACTCAGTCTGACATGCAGATGTTACCTGAACTGAGGCTGCTCCTGGTACATAGAGAGACTTTCTCCAGAGAAGCTAGGCTGAAGTGGCTTTTCCTCTTCCTCTTCCTCCTCCTCCTCATCCCATATTCACCAGCCCCGTTTTAGCTGTCTTTGGCTCTCCTTCCTGGCAAAAGCATTCTTTACCATATGTTTCAGATTTCTTGAAGGAAGAAAAGGAAAAGAAAAAGCCTACAAAAAAATCTCGCTGTATAATAAGCCTTCTTAAAATATTTTTATTAATAAGTAAGTAAATGAAGGAATGTAAGCTAATTTGGTTAATATTTCAGGATTCAGGCTGAAGTTTCTTCTTCTTTTTTTGGTACACATCTTTAAGTAGTTATACAAAGGCATTTCAATTCTGTGTGTCAGTTCAGTTTATTCTTTCTGAACGTCAAGCGATCTTACAGCCTATGCTCTTTCTTGGCTCCCCTCTAAGTCGTCTAAGAGCTTTGCACTTTTAGAAAACTGCCTCTCAGCAACAGATATTGGATAATTCAAAGATCACGGCAGTGAAGTAGGCACTAATATTGTCAGCACAGCCAGTGCCCTCTCAGAGGTTAACCTATAGGTGACCAGTCTTACCAGCCCACAGACATGAGTAACTAAGTGAGCTATAAATGTGTGCCAGCTGTCCTTACAGTGCCTGGACAGATCTGCAGTGGGCAGGTTATGTTTAGAGAAAACCAAGGAGAAAATAACATGTTAACCGGAATAAACTGTTTGGGGTCAAAATAACAGTCTGGTGTTTTTGTTCTTTGGTGAGATATAAAAAGAAAGCTTGAGTTTCAACTAGGCTTCATACGAACTTCTGAGCTTCTTTGCCTAGGCTTGCGTACCTCCAAGGACGTGGTTGGACAAAAGCAAAACTGTTCTGAGCGCCTCTGGTTTTGGATTGCACTTGAAAGCTTCTGTGTGTCTAATGTGGCATCCATCTTCCTTCTGCAGAGTTTTATAAATGGACACTGACATGGACTACGAAAGGCCCAACGTTGAAACCATCAAGTGTGTGGTCGTGGGGGACAATGCTGTGGGGAAGACACGTCTGATCTGTGCCAGGGCATGTAATACCACGCTGACGCAGTACCAGCTGCTGGCCACCCATGTACCAACTGTGTGGGCTATCGACCAGTACCGAGTTTGCCAGGAGGTAAGATATTCAAGGTATCTTTAGAATCCTTAGGCCATCATTGCTGTCTGCTGGAAGAGGGTGGCTAAAATTAAAACACCAAAGAAAATTAAGCTTTTTTTTTTCTTTTTTTAATGGTAAAAACAGTGTACAGAGGGATTACAGTTATGTGAGTAAGGTAATGAGTACATTTTCTATCGAGCATTGTTACCTCCTCCTCTGTTTATCCCCTACCATCCCTTCCCTCCCCACCTTCCCAAACCCTCCCTTCCCCCAAGTTGTAAAGTTCGTTTTCAACATAATGTCTTGTACATCTCATTGTTACAATGGGTCAACCTGTATCCTTGGTTCAGCATTTTGTTATTTCCCTTCCCCTCCCCAAATATAAAAATGTATATACAAGATGCAGGGCACCAAAATCAAATACAGTGAAAACAGGGGTTGTACCGTGGGGGAAACACATACAAAAGAAGCAAAAAGAAAATTCACATAGTGCATTTTAAATATGTTAAAAAACAATAGCAAGAAAGAAAAAAAAATTGTGTCTCTATCTTGGGATTCATTTCACTTACCATCATCTTATATGGTCGTATATACATAGCTTTTGACTTTTTCTGCTTTAGTGCTACAGGAGAAAACAAAAGCAAAGTGCATCCTTGGGAGTGTGGCTATGGTACCCAAATGAGGTTTAAGTCCTGTGATTTTCAGAAGGGAGGAAACTCAATGCAAGTGGGTTGAGGGGTAGTGAGGGGTGGTGACTTGGACTTCCTTCCCCCTGGGGAGGCTCTGGTTAACCTCTCCCTCTCCCCTCTCTCTCCTCTTGTCAGGTCCTAGAGCGTTCCCGGGATGTTGTCGATGAAGTAAGCGTTTCTCTTAGACTTTGGGATACTTTTGGTGATCATCACAAAGACAGACGTTTTGCATATGGCAGGTAAACTAAGACAAGTGCATCGTGTTTGAGCCTGAGTTGAATTTCCTTTGCAAAACTAGCAGCTGGTTTACAACTCAACAAAAAACGTATCAGAGGGCCTTGAAAATATATTGGGTTCTGCTACCTCTGAGAAAAGAATATAAAGGAAGATAGGGTTTCCTGATGTTTAGAAAAACTTCACCATGCCACTCAGAAAGTCCTTCATGAAAACAGCCAGTGCTCCTGAAGCTGGGAGGTTTGCTAGGTGAGGATTCTGTTTCACTCTCCAGCCTTGGGCCACTTTGAGATTTTTTTGAATGGTCTTCCATTTGCTTTTTTTTTTTTTTTTTTTAATGTTTCAACTTATCTTAGCACTTTGGCTGCCCTATTTCAGAAGGTCTCTTTGTGGGTTTTTTGTTGTTGAGTTTTTTTTTTCTTGACCATATTAGCAAGCATCTGATGTTACTTGTTTTGGACTTTGTGTTATCTGAAAAGACTCTCTTTTTTTAATTTGAAAGTCGTTTTTACAAAGAAAGAAAAATATCTCTGAAGTCCTTCAAAGACATGTTTCCAAAATGAACTAATGTCTGTTTTTCAGTAAATAATAATAATAAGGAAAGAAAGAAGGAAAACTCCAGCAAAGGGAAGATTAATGTAAAAGAATAGTTACATGAGTAGGGACATAGAGTGCCTTAAAATTAGCTACTTTTCCTCAGAGTATCTCTTAGTATTTCAGAGTATCTCTTAGTGGATAGGTTACAGTATAGCTGGTTTTCATTCTCTAGATAGAAATGGGGGGGGTACTAATTATGAATTAATATATTATATTTTAAGTTTAGAATTTAGGTGTCATGCTTAGTTGTCCCTTCTTAACATTAAATACCATGTTATCTCACAAGCCCATGAGTTACTTATGCTTTAATATTGAAATAAATATTAGAAAGTTTCTTCATCTCTTCAAACTGGTAGCTCTCTGAACCCATACAGTTCACACAACTATAGTAAAAATGTTAGTTTAAAAAAAAACAAATTTGTAAACTAAACTGATTGTCAGACATTTACAAAAGTAATCTAAAATATTGAGTTAACTTCTGAAAGGGGGCTGGGTACCTATGGCTCACTCCCATAATCTTGCTACTAGAGAAGCTGAGATCTGAGGATTGAGATAACAAATCTGAGAGACTCATCTCCAATTAACTAGCAAAAAGCCAGAAGTAGAGGTGAGGTAGAGTGTCAGCCTTGAGTAAAAAGGCTAATGAGAGCACCCCTCTCCCCCCCCACAAAAAAAATGCTAGAAGTGTTTTACCTACTGGGAAATAGTTCTGGAAGAGCCTGGGACTCAGACCATTTTGTTCAAGGAGACTGGAAAAAAAGAGACCTATGTCAGTAAAACATGATTTCATTGGCTCTTTTGTAATCAGAACTTTTAAACTTAATAGCCAGTATCATATCTCCTACATATCCTGGGGGTTTGTTGTTGTTTTCTTTACATAATGTGCTTGGTTGTTATCTTAGTGCAGTTGTTTTTTCTTTGTCCAGTTGATCTACATAAAAAATATTAATAAATGTATCTGTTTGTTGGTACTATGCAGTCAAGTTTGTGTTATCTATGGTTTCATGGAAGCCGGTTCTAGAAGAATATCTTTCTTTGAACTGAGAATAGATGCAAAGATTGTCAAAGGACATTTTGTAACCCCACTTCTGAAAAATGTCATGCAAAGATGGATCTGACGATAGGAGCTCACCAAGACATTTAGGCTTAGGCTCCACCAAGTATATTGCAAATGTGTTGTGGCCACTTGAAATGTATGTGTTTGAAACAACAACTTGTAATATGGCCCCACCACTTAAACTCAAAGTGGTGACAGAAAAGCTGCATTCTTTTCATGGCATTCCTGTTCAATGACACCATGATCCACACAGATCTGAGCGGGGCCTCATCCAGCTCCCTGACATAGCTGGAGTCATTTTACCAACATGTCATGCTTGTATTTGTCCACGCCCAATGAAAATAAGCTTCTCCTTCCTGTGACTCCATCAGATCAAAGTGCATTGTTCTGGTTCCCTGTCTGTAATGTTGGGGGCCATCCGTTGTAACCCGTTCCTCATTGGATGAAAACAAGAAGCGGTCCTCAAGCCAAGTTTGATTCTCTTGAGAAACATTCCTGTGTTTCTGGCCTTGCTCCCCTGGTGGCCTCACTTTGTGTGTGATGTTTGTACCTTGTGTTTCCTCAGTCCTTTCCCTTCTCCACAGCCCCCAGGCTCCCTGTCACACACCCTGCCACTATTATAATAGAGAATAAAAACCAGAGCCACTCTGCTCACCTCTAAACATGTTTCTGGAAATGCTAAATATGTAACCCCACAATCAGATACTGCCAAAATTAGATTTATGGGAAATTCTGATAGCAGCAGTTGTGCCTCGTTTTATTCATTTGTACACCAGTTCTCTGCATTGCTGGGGGACAGCTGTTTAATTTCTTAATAGCTTCCATTTTTAGCTTTGGTGAAGGGGTGGCGAATCGTAATTACTGTTTCTGACAGTTTGGTTCAAAAGCCTAATTTCCGACTCTGGTGTTTTTTTTTTTTTTAATTATAAGTTACTGGGATGTATAACACTCATAAACTTTTGGCCTGTGAAATATTACAAGGTACTTGGTACCCTTTTAAAATAGCTTGGTTAGATTCCTTCAGTGACAGTGAGAGAATCCAGAGTCATACCAAGATGCCTCAGCCCTCATCATGTGCTTCCTCTGCTTCCAAGCACAAAAGAAGCTCAGCAGTTGCCCCTCAAACATTCTTAGGTACTGGCAAGCTCAGACCTCTGGGTCAAACGGGTTATCAGTGGTAAGCTGCCTGCCAACTTGACTTTGAAATGTTTCTAGCATGATTTAAATATAACCAGATTGTTATTGCTCTCTTCATAACTTACAGAGAGCTAGTTAGCCTACTTCTTTGTATCCAATCAAGATGGCTCCAGTGCACCGAAGGCCTACTGTGTGCTACACCATGAGTTAATTTCTTCAGGAACAGGAACAGAGATACAGCGCTACAACTGAGCACAGAGCTGAGTGTGTATATCACAGTGGCTGGCCCAGTTGTGAGTCTCAGAAGCCAGTTCACACCCAGCTCTCCAGATTCCTGACTCCTTCCTCTGTGCCAGGTTACCACCACCTGGTTTCAAACAGCATGCAACTGAAAACAACCCCATGTCAGTGAGCTGGGTTTCTGTTTGTTCTTCCATATTTGTGTAAAGCCTCAGAACCTAGAGATCTCAAACCTCATCTAGTTGACCCTTTTCCTTCGGAAATGGAAGTTACCTAGCCAGCTGAGAAAAAAAAAAATACCCATATGGGGTCCTTCCATTGGAGGGAGCTGAAAAGGGAGTCGAGTCGAGTTAATATCAACATTCTGGCACTCAGCATGCCTGAGATCTGCCAGACCCTCTTTCTTGGGAGTGAAGGCCTCAACTCTCTTATAGCCTTCCCTCCCACCTCCTACTCTCCATCCACTTTTGGATGATCTTTTGAAGATCTTCTCGGGATCTTTTGAAATGTCAGGAACAAAACTGTATACAGTAACCACGGCTGTGATCAGCTGCTCATTTTCTGCTTAAAGGCATAGCACTCAAACAGTCTTCCCTGGAACATTTATTTGTTAAGACTTAAAGGTTTACTCTTTGGTACCTGGGGCTGAAAAGCTAGACAAAGAGGATGGGTCCTATCTTCAACACGACTGCCAGGCCCCTCAAGCTTTCTCTTCTAGTCATGCCACATACAAATAAATACAACTCTTTGTGGCTTTCTTTCCTTGGAACCTCCTTTCACCACGCTCTCTTAGGGTCAGATAACCTCCAGACAGCTGATAAAGCTGATGTTACTACTGGTGAGGACAACAGCTACATTTTAGTCAAGGTTACCCATGGTTGCTGTTGGGTGGCCCTGCCCTTCTTCATTCTCAGGGTGACTCAACAAGGTTGGATCACAGTGGAGGCACAGGGAAGACCAAGGACAGACAAATGGGAAAGCCCAACTTTAAAGCCTATACTCCTCTCCTGCTCCCATCTTGTGATGTTATGTGGATTTTGGCTGGTGACAAGCTCACTTGAAATTTCCCTTTGGTACAACTTTAAGCCTTATATTGTCCTATGTGGACTGTGAAGACCAGTACACATTCTCTCTCTGTCTCTCTCTGTCTGTGTCTCTGTCTGTCTGTCTCTCTCTCTCTCTCTCTCTCTTTCCAACTCAGATATTCCAGCGCTTTTCTTAATTTCTTTAATCCATAGAAAATAACCTAATATAAGCCAGGCACTGGTGGCTCACGCCTGTAATACCTAGCTACTCAGGGGGCTGAGATCTGAGGATCAAAATTCAAAGCCAGCCCAGGCAGTAAAGCCCGTGAGACTCTTATCTCCAGTAAACCACTCAGAAAACCAGAAGTGGCACTGTGGTTCAAGTGGTAGAGCACTAGCCTTGAGCTGAAAAGCAGAGGGACAGCCCCTAGGCCCAGAGTTCAAGCCCCATGACCAACCAAAAAGAAAGAAAAGAAAAAGAAAAGCAAAAAGAAACAAAAGAACCTAATATTTACCAGCATTTTTTAAGTATCTAAATATACACTAGTCTTTCCATTTTCAGTAAAGATGATAAATCCCAGAAAATTCTTTTGAGTGGCTTGGAATCTTGGATGCGGAGGGGGGCGGGGAGGAGGCATGTTTTCTTTGAAACATTTAGCTAAAAAATGAGAACATGCTTGCCCTAATCCTCAACACTTTCAAAGGCATATTTTCTATCTGGTTGAAACCAATTTATTTTACAGTTTATTCTTTCACACTGATTTTTTTTTCAAATGTTGTTGGCTCTTATGTAAAGTACAGTATGTGTTCTAAATTATATCATTCATCAGAGCTGTGGTTTCTGTGTATCTGTTTAGATAAGATGGATTTGGTTTCATGTGGAAGGCTCATGTAATTAAATACAGAACACACCCATTTTTTGAATGCTCAACTGAGATCTTTAAAACAT